TTCCTGGGTTCCTGGGTTCCTGGGTTCCTGGGTTCCTGGGTTCCTGGGTTCCTGGGTTCCTGGGTTCCTGGGTTCCTGGGTTCCTGGGTTCCTGGGTCCCTGGGTCCCTGGGTTCCTGGGTTCCTGGGTTCCTGGGTTCCTGGGTTCCTGGGTTCCTGGGTTCCTGGGTTCCTGGGTTCCTGGGTTCATGGGTTTGGGGTTTGTTTGTTTTTGTGTCGGAGGTTTTGGGTTCGGGTGTTGGAGGTTTTGGGTTTGGGTGTTGGAGGTTGAGGTTTCCGAAGGGATGTGTTTGCAAAGTTTTATTGCTCTTAGTATTGTTTGTATGTACCATCTTGGAAGGACATGGCTGGTGGGGGCGAGGGGAAACATTGATTTAGATTTTGAAGATGCCCTCCCTCCAAACTTCACGAACAGGGTTACTAGTGTTGTGCCTCATTTCATTGGAAGATGCTCTCTGTTAGGGATATTAGGACCATCAAGATGATCAAGATCAGGATGACAAGGGAATGCTCTAACAGGCCGACTGAAAACTTGCCAAAGCGACGGCCAAATGCAGAGTGGAACTACGACAACTGCCATGAAATGCAAGGGAAGTTTCGCTTTGTCATGGTATGGTCAAAAGTTGAATCCTTTCTCATTGACAAGCTTGTCTTGTCCAACAACAGGTCCGAGTACCAGTACGGGGCAACTAGGAGAGCTTTTAATTATAACCCATAGTTAGGAAGGCTCCACCACTGTCTCTGGAGAATCGCATGCTCTGTGGAGACGGAGAGAGCAACAAGTGATTGACGTATGGACTGCGGATAAGAATGTTTGACATGCATCTATCCAGCTAGCTATGTATGCATCCGTTGACCGGAAGTTTTCGTTTTACAGATGATTCTGAAGTAGAAACCCCTCTACTCACTGAACAATTCATCTCTAGAGGGTCGGTTCCAGCATGGCGTCGAAGCTCTGGAGAAGGCGATATTTGATGCGGCTTCTGCCCTCTCTTTAAGGCTTCCCCAAATTCATTTCTTAAGAACATCTTTGGCCCCTTCATTCAGGTGGAAATACGTCAAAGATGTGCGTCAAGATGGATATGGGTAAGGTCTAATGTCTCTAGTCGGCTGGTTCAAAGCTCGAAGGAAATTTGCACAAGGTCACCTTCAAGGTGACGTTTTTGCCTTATCCGAAATGAAAAAGTGGATACTCCAAGAGCACGTCTGCTCTTATGCTGTGGATATAGAGGAAAAGGAAAAGAGAAGAAAGTAGAAGAGACATCTTAGACCGCACTGACTTTTAATTACTCCATCATTCTACTACTGTAAAGTTTTGATTGCCGGGACCATATTCCTAGAAGTTGCTTGCTTGCTATCACAATATCGTTTCTAACCCACGGATGTTCCAGCACTTGCAGGTTGCGTTTTCGGGACGAATATTAGTGACGAAAATTGGGCCATCGCTGAGCCGCTGGACTACAAGCAGCTTATTTCGGTGAAAGACATGCGGACATTGTTGATTATGTCTCATGATGTAGTTCTCGCTTTCTAGTCACTGGGATTCGATGTTGATGTTCACGTCCAGATTATGATTGATGCTTATAAATATACATGCTCGTGCCACCGTCCGCGGCTCAAAAGTTTGGCGTAATTAATAGATCGAGGTTGATCATATAGCCTGATTTTTCTGCTAGGCGGAAGTATAATTTTCCTATTGACTATGTCTTCTAATCTACAGAAGCTGCAGCATAGAGATAGCGTGCAGGAGTCCAGCAACCTACAGCAGTTAGAGGCACGGTCCCGGTCAGTGTGGCAAGAACGCGCAGACCGACAATTCAATTTGCATCGAAATGGGTGGGTTTCTATAGGGGAGGATGCTTGATGACAAAAGCGCTACTGAACTCCTGAAGACAACGTTGCTGTAAGAGTCTTGATATCATGCAGGATGCGCATCTGAGGACCTCCAAGAACTTCTGTGCAGCACTATTGATTCACTGTGCACGAGCCGCTTCGTGGTTCTAGAATGTTCAATAAGAGCACTCCTGTGACGCTGTGTTTGCGAAAGTAGAAAGCGGCTTCATATATTTAGTTCTACTTCGCTATTGAGTACGAACGATCGGTGTACCAGATCTCACCAGATGATACATCCTCTGTACAAACGCTTTTGGTTTTTTCAGCAGTGCTAAGATGGATCATGATTTTATGACAGCTGACGACGAGAAAAATGGATCAAAAGCTTCCTCGGTTGAACAATGCCATCTTGTCTTTTTTCTATACTTGCTGAGGCGACTCTTACTCTGTTGTTTACGCTTCTTCCTCGGTTTGTAATATGGCAAAGACGTCGGTTGCGCGAGTTGA